GCGGAGACTTCCGCCTGAGCCACCGCCCCGCGCAGGTTTCCGCATCTCGCCATTATCTCGGGACGAGCTATATGCCTTCGTAGACGCGTACACAAAGGACTATGGCATCACTCAGAGCTCACCACGCGAAGAGCGGTTCTTTCGCAGCTCCATTCCTCCCTGGTTTGCGGCCTCCGCACACCGGGTCACCATTGGCGTGGAACTTCCGATAGACCACTCAATAACTGACGAGGAAGAGCTGACAAGGGAAAAGCGCAGAGTCAGCGAAGAGGCTCTAGCGCTGCACAGCCATCGTTCGTGGATACTCGCGACGGATGGCGGTGTAGACGTTCCCAAGTCAGCCGGGGTTGGAATCCTGCTTTCATCCCTCAATTCATCGGAGATAATAGAAAAGGCCAGTATAAACTGCGGTGCACGCCCATGCAGCTACAGGACGGAATCCCGTGCGCTGCTTCTAGCCCTAGAGAAGCTGATTATCCCTCGTATCCAGCACAGGCGTAAAACCCTGCTTGTGGTTACAGACAGTCAGTCTCTTCTTGCGGCTTTAAATAAGGGCCCGCTCAGTCAGACAGACTGGACGGAGGATCAGATCTGGCAGCGTCTCTTAACACTGACGTGTGCTGGCTGGTCCGTGCACCTGCAGTTTTGTTACGGACATTGTGGAGTACATGCTAACGAGCTTGCAGATCAGTATGCGACGCAGACTATGGAGACTGGACAATACACGGAGCAAGCAATTGCACCTTTATGGCATACGGATCTGCTGACATGTTTTACTACCCAGCTCACCAATAAGTGGCGTAGTACGATTCGTCAAGACACTCATCGCTACTTGCTTTGCGGCACAAGGCCATCAGATCTCAGCGGTAAGGACCTGATCACTCAGGAAGTTCTTCACCGTCAAGAACTGGTTCACCTCGCAAGGGCAAGGTGCGGCGAATCTGAGCTCTGGGGCCGACTATACTGGGCTGTGAGAGATTGCACGAACCAATGCCGTTTCTGCAACATCTCACCAGAACAGTCTGCATATATGCGCTCTAACAACGATCCAACTGCACCGGGGACGGACACTGTTCCCCCGTCGGCAAGGGAGGAAGACGTCTCTCCAGTAAGGAGACGGACCATCACACGTCGTCGGAAGGAGAAATGTCCGTACTGTGATTCTACATTGACGGGATTCTCGAATCTCGTCAGTCACTGTCGGTCATTTCATCCGGAACATCCTCCACCGCTTCCCGAGCTCAAATGCGATTTCTGTGATATGGTTTTCCCCACACGGAGAAGCACCGCACAGCACAGAAGTCGCTGCGCACACAACCCAGACGCCACACGGCATCTAAACAGAAGTGCCAGGAGGCGATCTCTGCTACCACAGGATCAGCCAGCTTCCACAAGCACGCCAATTGGCCCGCAGGAAACCTTGCACCATCTGCTTCTAGAATGTCCAGGCACCTTGGCTGTGCGCCAACGGCTGGCATGAACAGGACCT